GGAGGTTGCGGAGAGCCGAGATTGCGCCATTGCACTCCAGCCTGGGTAACATGAATGAAACTCCGTCTAAAAAAAAAAAAAAAAAAATGTGAATGCCTTAGAAATAAAAGCTGCCTTTTTGTGTGTGTGTTTCAATTGTGTGTATCTTGCATATAAAAAGTATATGAACAAATACATTTTTGTGTTGTATATGAAATAAAACTGTATAAATAACATACAATACAAAAATGCTGTGACCAAGAAATCTTCCTAAATGTAATATTATACCTGTCTCATAATCCAAGATACAATTCTGCTTATTTACTTTTAAATTCAAAAAAGTATGAGGGGGAAAAAAAATCAATCATTAATAGATTCAGTCTTAACCTACATAATACGGTTCAAACTTATAATTAATAATTATTTAATAACAAATACTCTGAAAAATAACATTGAAAACATATTTTTACCAACTTTAAAAAGTATTCTAGTTAAAACTACTCATTACAAATTCTACAAAGTACATACATATTCTACATATTCTAGTTGCCTGTATGAGCTATTTTTTCTTTCCTTACACTTAAAAAATAAACACACCATCTATGAACTCAAAATGTAATATTTCCTAAATCAGAGTTGCTGTATGATGAAAATTACAACCCCCGCCTCCCCAAAAAAAGACCCACTGTAACATCATCAGTTAAACAATCACTTCTTTGTCACTGAGTGAACAGTTCCAGTGAGATGATGCCAAACCTTTATCTAATATTTGTAAAAGCTTATTTTGTATTTGCCATCTCAATTATACCACATGCCATAATCAACACAACATTTTTTGTGGGTGAAGATGATACTTAATCAATTACATTTGCTAGATTAAAAACAAGGCCTATCATTTTTTTTTAATGCCTTTCCAATTTTAGCATATCTTTGCCTACCTGGCTTTTATTTGGCTTTTCCTAGCAGCTGCTTCACTAGCAGTCATCGGTTCAGGGAGAGCTGAAGGAATAGAAGAATTCTTGGAAGAAAAAAAAACTTTTCATTTTAGTTTTTAATTGCAGAGTTTTTTTAAACTATGGATATATTATTGAACTTTAAAAGTACTCTCCATATTATTATTTTCACATCACATACCTATAAATTGTTCACATATATTTGCCAGATCTAATCTGCAAATATCACTACATGCTACACAAATGTCACTTTCATATTCATGTGCCACAGAAACCTTGGAAAATAAGCCATAGATACCATTGTATCCATGTATAAGTGGGTAAATCTTGAGTGAAACCAAACATTATATTACACTTGTAAATCAATGACTATTTGCATTTTGGAAAAAGCAACAAACACCAAGGATAAGAATAAAGTGTTGTTTCTACATACTACAGATAATTTTCAAGACACTGAATGTAAGGCCTGGAAAATTAAGGCAGAAGGCCTTATTAATTTGTCTATGTCCAATGTTTAGTTAATTGTAAATAATAAATACTTGCTGAATAAAAAGCTCAACACCTAATCAAATGTCAAATGAATCTACTTTTCTACTTTTAGAACTGCAAAACTTTCAGCTTTAACAGAGAAAATACTACATTAATACAACAAGGGCTTAAAAAAAAAAAGGAAAGGTACCACATTCCTTCTTTTTTCTTAGTGGGATAGATTAAGTTATACATAAAGGAAACCCTACAGAAACAAGTCAGGCCAGAATGATCATTACAAAGTCAAGAATGGCTTATAATCAGCGATGATTCTAGAGATCTTTATTAAAACTGACAAAGACTTGCCATATACAATTCACTTAAAGTAGTTAAATGCACTGTGCAGACAGTGAATAAAATGTAAAGCTTTTGAATAATACTATTGCCAATTGAGAACCTTCCAAGAACTAGGCACTGGGTTTTACATGTAATCCTTGTAATTACTATCCTTTTTTTACAGGAAAAAAAAAAAAAAAAGGACATTAAAGTAACTTACCAAAAGATTAAAAATCAGCCACTGATAAAGACAGAACTGAATCTGAGTCTTTCTGTTTACATTGCCTGTGCTTTTAAAATTATTATTTTTATAGTTTAAGGTGCTTCAAGTGCAGTTTTGTTACAAGGATATGTTGCACAACGGTGAAGTCTAGGCTTTTAGTGTGACCATCAACCAAACAGTGTACATTATACCCATTAGGTAACTTCTCATCCTTCATCCACTTCCCACCTTTCTTAGCTTCCACTGTCTATTACTCTGCTGTCTATATCCAGGCATACACATTGTTTAGTTCCCATTTCACAATGCCCATGCTTTTTATACCAATATCCAATGTTTCCCAAACTTACTCAGTTAATAGAGTGCTTAGGGTTTCAGTAATTGTTTACAACAGGTCTAAGAAAAAAAAAAAAAATCTAATAGTCCTGTTTATTAGATGGTTAGGCCCAAATAACTTAATAAAATTAGTTTGTGCTAGGTCAGACAGATGTCCCTGTGTTTTCCTCAAAAACGCAAAATATCCTGTCTCAGTCTTCTGCAGCTCCCCAAGGTACCTCAGTGCATAGTTTGGGTAATACAGCTTTTAAACAATATAGTCAAACACACAATCAGACCACTTGTCATGAAACAAGGAACTTTGTCTGTTTTTTAATAACAACAAAAAACAAGTAGTTCTGAAAGTATATGTATTCACATATGATAAAATGAATTTTAAATCCATATCCTACTTGAAAAACTACTTACATTGATGTTGGAGACTGGACAATCCTTTTTGGCAAATTTAAATGCAAAATATGACACTTGAAATATATCAGGTCTATGTTCCGGATCCGGTTCAAGCATGAACCCTGCAAGAACAGATCAAAATTTTGAGAAGTTTTATGAAACACACATTACATTACTTAGGGGCACATTATAAGGATAAAAAATATTATTTTCTGTTCCATTTTAAGATCAGTGATGATTCTAGTGAACTTTATTGATGCCTACAGAAAATGCAGAAATTGCTGGAAGTAAAGCATTATCCTAAGGGTAGATCAGTCACAGAACAGCTCTACACTAGAAGCATGAATGACAAATACGATTATTCTATTGAAAAAGTGACACAAAAGAAAAAGTGAGTTTAGTGAACACTGGAGAGATATTTAAGAAAGTTTGAGGGCCATAGTAAAAAGGTTCTTCAAGATAATTCTATTCAAAATAATTCTTACTATTATCTAAAACACCTGTATTAATTTTTAAGTAATCCTGAATCATTGAGAAAAGGCTAAATTGTGTACATTATAATCTAATAAAGTATTAAAGGATTGGCACTATCATTTTCCCAAAGCATGCTCTTTTCCCGTTCTGATATTAACAACATTCACCATAGTTCTGTATCTTAACATATCATGCTCAGAAATATGGGCAGAGTTTTATGATTTCTGTGAACAGATTTCAAAACAACCTTACAGATTGCTTGGAATGCCTGATCTTTTTGCTACCAAAATGACCACTACTATTTGGTAGTACTCTACTTCTTGGATAATTTTTAATTCTAAATTTCACAAAGTTGACATTTATAATACTCAATTCCATAAGTAAAAGATTCATATTCTTTTAAGACTAAGTCTATCTCTGCCTCATCAATTCACTCTAAGTTTTTATAATGTTTAAATCCTTTTTAAACTACTTAAAATGTAAAATTTACAGCACTAGATGATATTCTGAAGTTTGCTAATAAACTAATGGATAGAGAGGTTTAAGTATGTAAATGGGTTAAATAAAATTGTAAATTATTTAAATTAATTAAAATGAATTAAATCTTCCCTCAAATTCAAGTAATATTTTGAATAAAGAATGTACAATACATTTCCAATGACATGATAAATTTATTTTGGCTAAAAACACAGTTATGTGGAGAGTTATAATTTATTTGCGAGATTCTGAGCTCAGTGTAAAAGATACAAAAACTCTGCATGTAACTTGATTTTATATGTTTATGCTAACATATATCACTTATAAAATTGATTTTTTATCATTTTTATCACCATTGCTAGATTGAAATAACTAAAAACATTTTAATTCTAATATTTGCTAGTTTTTATATTCAAATTCATTCCAGAAAAGATTTGAGGAATCCACAAAGTTTATTTTACCTTCATACCAACAGACATCAAATGTTTTTAAAGTAGCAATAGTACATAAAATGGGGATAAATTCAAACACACTGTTAGCAATGTTCTCACTCATAGGCGGGTGTTGAACGATGAGAGCACATGGACACAGGGAGGGGAGCACTACACACTGGGGTCAGTTGAGGGGAAATAGGGGAGGGACGGTGGGGGGTGGGGAGCGGGGGGGGGATAGCAGGGGGAGAAATGCCAGATGTAGGTGATGGGGAGGAAGGCAGCAAATCACACTGCCACGTGTGTTCCTATGCAACAATTTTGCATGTTCTTCACATGTACCCCAAAACCTAAAATACAATAAAATAAATAAATGGGAAAAAAAATAATAATAATAATTTTCAAAACCAAATAAATCACAAAAAAACCTATCAAATTCACAGATGTATAGTCCTATTTTTCTATTGTAACAAATTTATTTGTCTTTGAAAATCTAATTTCAACAATAGCTAATCACAAATATTTAGTCCTATAAAGAACTTGAAGTGGCACACAAAACCAAGATTTTTTTAAAATATATAAGAAATGTAAAACTGATGGAAAAATAATGGCTGAGGGGTTGAGATGAATAGGATAATGAGGTCAGTTACAAACTACATATGATCTGGTCCTGAACACAGGCCCAAAGTTTGCTCTCCATTTTCTAGCTGTCAATATATATATATAGGGCAACATGATCCATTACATGAACCACAGTGTACCTAATACAAAAAAGAGATGCTAGGGAAAAACACTATTTGTGATACTGAAAGCTAGAGGGCAAATTCTCCCTTTAGTCTTTCTAAAGATAGCTCACACAAAGTGAACAACATCCTTAAGAATAGCAGTGAGTGACACAGGGTCATGTTTTAAACACTTATCAGTGTCGACTAGTGGCCTAAATGCAGTGCAGTGAAATAAAGAGGTATGGTATAAGAACATACTTCTTTGGTGACCTGACTTAATCCAAGAAAAACTTTTTAAGTATCCAGAGAGAGTTCAGGCAGTCCTGGTTTTTCTTTGATTTTTTTTGTTTGTTTGTTTGTTTTTCATAGCAGCTGAGAAGCATTGAGGGAGAAAAAAAATTGAGATTTGGTGTCCTAAACTATAATGGGTATAAGTATTTCTGCCTCTCAAGTTAAGCACACCCTATCATCTAATGATTAGGTAGTTAGGTTGCAGGTAGAATCGATATTATCTTATGAGCAAGCACAAGGACCTCCAATTCCCCTGGGTCATGTTTTCATGTGGGAATATATCTGCTGGAGCCAGTTTAGTCTAATTATATTGATTCAATTTATGTGACATAAGATCAACTCAAAAGTCAGAACTACTATTTATTTTAACAAAGAACAAAATATTAGAGTACATTAATATGATAAATATTAGCAATATTTCATGAAATGTGATTCATTTTACATGTGTGTATATGTCTGTGTGTGGTGTGCATGCCAGATCACAACTAAAATGTATTTTTATTAATATATTGAATCACAGTCATAAAAGTTTAAAGCCACTGTGCTAGTGTAGTACCATGATCTCTATTACTATAACTCATTCTACCCCATGGGAAAGATAGTGATTTATCATATTGTTAGACTAGAAAAAAGAATGAAGCACCGCCATCCATCAATCTCTGATGCTCTTTGTTTCAGAACAAGTTATTTTAAGAACATACATGTTCTCTGCTAAACCATATTTTGTAAGTAGCCTGCCTCTGTGGAAGAAGTCTAAGACTTTCCAGCATTGCCTATGACTGCATGTTAGTAAATCTGAGGATTGGGAACACAGGAACAGGTTCCTTTGGCTTTAGATCTAAATTTCATTCTGCAATCAGCTTTATCAGTACTAAAAAGTTGACAGTTTTATCTGATGAGTTCCTGTGCACCATCTCCAACTTGGTTCTAAATTCAGAGCATGAAAAGATGAATGATCATACCTAAAACCCACAGGTAGAACATAGCTACATTTTTATCTCTGAATATTTCTAAATTGAATATTATCAGCAATTAAGAAAAAGGAAAAAAAAACAATAAGGCATCTTTAAGCACTTAATTTACATAATATAATTTACTGAACTCTTCAAGAGAATGGGTTGCAAAATGTACTACTGGATTACTGAATGATGTAATCTAGACTGCAGAGGTATCACATTTAATACCGCTAAACACTGATTCAAGGACAATTTAAGCCAGGCACAGTGGCTCTCGCCTGTCATCTCGGCTACTCAGAAGGCTGAGGTGAGAGGATGGCTTGAGCTTAGGAATTCAAGGCTACAGTGAGCTATGATCTCACCATTGCAGCAATCCAGCACAGGAAAGAAAGAAAAAGAAAGAAGGAAGCGAAGGGGAGAGAAAGGGGAGGCAGAAAACGAAGGAGGAGAGGAAGAGAGGGAGGGAGGCAGGAAGGAAATTGACACCTTCAATTTTATTTTTTTAACACAAGAGTCTCACTCTGTCACCAGGCTGGAGTGCAGTGGTTCGATCTTGGCTCACTACAACCTCCGTCTCTCAGGTTCAAGTGATTCTCCTGCCTCAGCCTCCCGAGTAGCTGGGGCTACAGGCACGCACCACCATGCCCAGCTAATTTTTATATTTTTAGTAGATATGAGGTTTCACCATGTTGGCCAGAATGGTCTCAATCTCTCGACCTTGTGATCCGCCCACCTCAGCCTCCCAAAGTGCTGGGATTACAGGCGTGAGCCACCTCGCCCAGCCACCTTCAATTTTTAAGTAGTTTTTCCAAAGGCATTTTCTCCTGCAAATAATTAAATCTTGAGTTTAGTGTTTTATTCATTCCTACTTCATGACAATAAAACCATATCATCTATTAACGAAATGTGCCTATGGGGAAAAGAAACGGATTAAGGAATATATATGTCCAGTTCATCTAAAAGTAGCATTAAGTGATTAGGTTTAGAAACAAAACAAAAAAGGCAGAGAGGCTAGAATACACCTTTGTTTACTCAACTTAAAATGATCACATGAATCATCACAAAACTATTACCACTGAATCTAATTCTACTATAAATATAAAATCAACTTTTTAAAACTTAGCCACAAAGTAAAGATATTGCTCTGCTCACTCAATTGTGTAAATCTTTCTATTGACACAAATACTACTAACACAACCTAAGAACACAAAATAGAGCTTCAGCACTGAAGGTAGTGTATGACTAAACTACAACAGTATTTCCTACTGATGTACACACTGGTCTGAGGCAACGGGATGAATTATGCCTATATTAATATTGCACAGAAAAGCACAACACCCCTGTACATTCCAACAAAAATAGAAGCTAAAGGAGGTGCTGTTGCAGCACCCAAATTATATCATGGTTTAGCCAAGGACCCAAGCCAAAAATTAAAGTAGTTACCTCAAGTTACACAAAGCAAAGGATCCATGCTTGGGCCTAGATAAAGTTAAGCCACCATCTCTAATCTAACAGCTCAACAAATTTAAAAAGATAATACTCTGAAGTCTCAAAACAATTTTCCCGCTTAAAATTTGTTTTTGCCCCATAAAGACACATTTTTCTCTCCCACCATCTTCCAATTATTACTCTTAATTTCCCTGAAATGAGAAATATCCACTCTAATTTTCCAACCATAAATATTTCATGCATCAATATTCTTTTTTATATATTAACTTACAGACATTATTATAGAAACTTACATGTTTTATATATATGTCCTACATACCTTATTATATGGATGCTGAAATGAAACTAAATTTAATAGCTGATAATACGTTCAATCATAACTGAAACATTAAGCAGCACTAAATAGTGCCAGGATAATATATTTGGAATAGTACTGGTAAATACCCCTAGAAGTTACCGATCAGAGCCCTCTTTCTATATCTCTTCAAGTAGTAACGCAGAGCCAATGATTGAAAACCTCCAAGGAAACCCTATCTAAATCTTTGATTTCAAAGGTACTTTTAAGTAGCTGAGATTTTTTTTTTTTTCTTCCAAAAATAATACAGGAGTAGAGAGTGGGTGAGGTTATAGAGGAAACAAGATTGGGCATGAATTGATAACCACTGAGGCTGAGTGACAGGTACATGAAAATTTATTGCACAGCCCTATCTATATCTGTAGAGATTATTAAATTTCTATAATAAGTTTAAATGTATTAAAAATAAGCAAGCAAATTTTTGGTTTCCCACAGTATGGGTACTGCAACAAATTTAACCTCAATTGAACCAGCAGAGTGGTTCACACCTGTAGTACCAGTTACTCAAGAGGATCAGCTGAGCCCGGGAGGTCAAGACCAGTCCGGGCAACATAGCTAGATCCTGTTTCTAAATAAATAAACAAATAGTAAAAAATAAGGCCGGGCATGGTGGCTCATGCCTATAATCCCAGCACTTTGGGAGGCCGGGGCAGATGGATCACTTGAGGTCAGGAGTTCGAGACCAGCCTGGCCAACATGGTGAACCCTTGTCTCTACGAAAAGTATAAAAACTGGCTGGGCATGGTAGTATAGGCCTGTAGTCCCAGTTACTCAGGAGGCTGAAGCAGGAGAATGGAGAATCGCTTGAATCTAGGAGAATTCTCACAATAACCTTAAGAGGTGGGTACTTTTAGAAACGGGAAGGCTAAAATAAATGGAGGTGCCCAATGTTCCATACCAAACAGGGACAGAGCAGATACAATCCAAGGCTGTTTGGCTCTAGAAGTCTTGTTCTTAATCTCTGCAATGTACTTCCTTAATCACCTTACAATACAGGAGCTAAAAGAAAAGCGAGGCAGCCAGCTTTCAGTACATTCCTCATAACTATGCAGTAATCCTGTTAGTTATGCTTCTCACTCTCCTTCTAAACAGTTCTCTAAGTTCTTTTCAACTCTTGGATCTGGAAATGGAAAGTGCTTCTCTCCTCATCCCCCATGCCAGCCCCATTTTGCCCGGTAGGAGAGTTAACAGAAACTAAGAAAAGTTCTAAGTAATTGACTACACTACGTTTAAGAAGAAAAGTCTCCAGGAAAGAAAGAAGAAATTAATAGTTAAATTAAGTTTTATGAAGAGTAAGTAATAATAATTACCCTTGAACTAAATTAGTAATAAGAAAAAGTATATTCAAATTCTTAGGTAGCCACAAACCATACAGTTTTAACAAAGATTTGTCATGGCTATTTCATTTTCAAAATTTCTGTATGTTATAAAATGGATGCAAATGGCACTAATACTAAAAAGACGTATATCTTCTTATGCTTTATCTTATGTTAATATATGGAAACAACTATATTGCATGAATACACAATTGGCAACTAAAAGTTTCACATTCAAAAACTATGAGCAAAGCCAGGAATTCCTGGTTTTCTGAATGTAGGATTTATTTAAAAGAATTATAAATCACTAATTACATATTATAAACACAGACAGAGACACTGAAATAAAATGGCAAAAGACACAAAAGCCCACATTTGAAAAATATAAAGAATAAAATCTCAGGCTGGACATCGTGGCTCATGCCTGTAACCCAACACTTTAGGAGACTATGGTGGCAGGATTGCTTAAGGCCAGGAGTTTGAGACCAGCCTGGGCAATTAGCAAGACCCAATCTCTACAAAAATTTAAAAATTAGCCCAGCATGGTGGCACATGCCTCTAGTCCTAGCTACTCAGGAGCTGAGGTGGGAGGATGTCTTGAGACCAGGAGTTTGAAGTTACAATGCGCTATGATCATGCCACTGTACTCCAGGAGGACCTGGGCCACAGAGTGAGGCCTTGTCTCTTAAAGAAGACAAAAAATAACAATAATAATAAAATTGCAAAGGATCTAAATGTTTTCTAAAACACATCACATTATAGATATGTTATAGTTTTAAATCTCTACTTTATTAAGTTTTTACTATTCAATACAGTATTTTTAAAGTCCATAAAACCCTCTGACAGGAGGTAAGATATTAGGATTATTATAATTTCAGATTGACTTGAATGCATTTGTGTTTTTTCAACCTTTTGTTATTTCTGCCTAGCTCTCAGAAATAAGTTCAAAGACATTAATACATGATCAAATTTATACTAGCAATAAAAACTAAAATTAGCACATTTACTGACAAATAAAGCATAGAATATACTGTGATGCATCAATTAACTACAGCCTTAATTAGATCTAAAATTATCAATAGTATTTATTTTTTCCATCTTACCATCACAAACACACATAATCCCACCCCACTCCCACATACATACAAACATACATACATACATACATATATACATACACACACACACACACAGAGAGAAAAAAAGAAAAACCTAATCACAAGAAAATAAGATGCTACTACTGTAAGCAAATTAAATCCCAAGTGAGACTAAATTTCTTCCATCCTTTTTTTTGGGGGGGCAATTTTTGATCTTTTTTGGAATTTTTACCCTTTTATGATTTATACAAGCCTCATAAATTATAAAAGCTAGGCATCTGTCAAATGATTAACAAATATTTCTAATTTATCATTTGACTTTATGAGTTTGGGTTCATGAGTCTGGGGGAGCTTTTAACGATTTAAAGTTACATGACAATAGATTTATCTTTTTTTAATACAGTTCCTGGGATTAAACGTCTAGCTTATAAATTACACATTCAGCTCTTATAAATAATTTCATACCTCTTTTCTTCAAGTACATTTATGTTTTAGTTTTATATTTAAATCTTTGATTTATCTGCAATTTTAGCATAAAGAATGAAATAGAGATCCAGCCTTATTTTTTACCCACAAATGGCTGAGAAAGTTGAACTGCCATCTTCATCATACAAACCTCAAATATATTTAGGTTGACCCTCTTTTCTATGCCAGTGAGCTGGAGGCTACAACAAGGGGTACTTAAATGCAGAAAACAAAGCAGAAATGCTAGACGTACTTAAACCATGTTAAGAGGAGCTGTTTAAATACTGTAGCTCCCTAATATATTTTAATATCTGATAGTCCTCCCCCTCCTCAAATTTATTTAACAAATTTTACCACATACATATGTAAAATGTTAAATTACAGTACCTATCAAAATGGAAGAAAAAAAGCTTAAAGGAGGTTGGAAGAAAAACTATGTTTTTTAAAAATATATATTTTATTGCGTTTTAGGTTTTGGGGTACCTGTGAAGAACATGCAAGATTGCCGCATAGGTACATACATCACAATGTGGTTAGCTGCCTTCCTCTCCATCGCCTATATCTGGCATTTCTCCCCATGTTATCCCTCCCCAAACTAAAGTATTATTTTGCAAGGAGATTAGCCCCTCTGACATTACGCCTTATGTATGCTACTAAATCTTACCTAGGGGATTAAAAACATCTATATTAATCAGTAATTAGGTTGCTTTCATTCTTATTTAAGTCCTTAAACACATCTGTAATTTTTTTCTTTACTAGTTTCACAGAATTATAATACATGAAATTAAGACTAGATTTAAGTAAAGGGATGTAAATACTAGGCCCTAAGTACAGTATCTTACAATATTTTCATATATTTTTCCAAGTACTTACTTATTAAGCAATGTATATTATGAGAGTAACGAGAATTGTCTGGGATGGTAAAGCTGCCATCACAGATAGCAACCTGACTCTCACCAAAAGGAAGAGTGAAGAAACAAAGTTTATAGAGTAGACATCCCAGTGCCTATAAAAAAAAGAAGCATGAATACATTAGGACTCAAGTAAGCAAGACATAAAAATAGCCAAAAACCAAAAACTAAATGTTATTTTTAAAAGCCATAATGTTGCTATACTGTACCAATCTTTTCACAAATTACTTCTTACACAAATTAATATATTTAATTTTTGAAAAGACATTTAACTATATAATTTCCTTGATTTTTTATCACATCTGTGGCTAGTTGGCTGAATTAATGGTACCATAAAAATTAGAAGTAGCTGGTTCCTTTTGGAAAAAAATTATACTTTTATTTCTTCCACAAGGAAAACATATATTTAGTATATAACTAGCATATAACCAACAAAGTTAAGTACAAGGCTCATTCTTTAACAGCATTTTTCAAAATTCACTATAAAACATGTTTAAAAGTTCTGGGATTCCAAATATGAGTTAGGCAGCACACTTAAATTTATCAGACAATAATCAATAAATTGGTACTATTTACTCAGCACACCTCATCATTTTACACTATAAAAATTAAGATCTCTGTTTCTAGATATAATCCTCTAACTTCTATTGCACATTATACTAATTATATTTGTATTTGTCACCTGGTAATCTATATTAAAATTCAAAAGGGAAGGCCTCTGTCTGGGTAACTTGCATTGCTTCATAACCATTATAATGCCAATAAATCTACTTGCTGACAATGAAGGCAAAACACCCTAAAATATCAATGTCATCTATAAAAGTACCACAGGAAATTTCTAGCTAAAGTGCTAACAGCTCAAACTTGAGAAGCTTTTTTTTTTTTTTTTTTTTTTTTTGAGGTGATTTTTTGGCTTAAGAAAACATTACTTTTTCCCAAGAAGTGTCACCTACAGGCCTTAAGAGTGTAAGGGGCATTTCCAATTCTAATCAAATTGTTTAAAATTCTCCAAGTTAGTATATACTCATATCAGCAATACTGAAATTTAGCCTTATTATCTAAAAATTAGCAAATCAGCTTTCCTTCTTTAAATTTTCTCCACATATTAACTTAGCAAACTCAGCTAACAAGTGCACTAATTTTTATAATCACTATGAAGATTATAATAGACCTAAACACCCTTGGTGAGTTCAGCAACAGTAATTTACAGAACATTTTCAATATTGTAGCAATGTTCCAATGAAAACAATTTAAAAGCTCTAAAAAATTTCAGTGTTAGTTCATAAAAAATACTGAGTTATTACATGACAAAATTATAAAGATTTGAAGTAGGAATAACCAATTCAGTATGGTTAAAAAAAGATTTATGATGTTTTTTTCTTTAAGGAAGATATTTTCAACTTATATAAAGCAAACTGAACATAAGGCTCCCTTAACAGCACTTAAAAAAATGCTATTAATGGTATAATGTCCACATTAAATTACCATCTTTCTGTGCACTGTCCAGGTAATAGTCTAGGCAAAAGAGATCTCCATTTTAGCCAGTTTTATTTTGTTATTCAAACTTTAGGAATTTGTCTTGTGTTAGACTAAATAATGCAGGGTTCCTAGATAACAATTTTAACAATGCAAGCATACTTTAAAAATATATGAATCTAAATACTCTGCTTCTTAAAGTGTGAACACAATGAGGTATACTAATTTTTTCAAACCAAAGGTATTTCCCTTCTTATCCAGCTCAGTGAGAAGGGAACCAGTGACTGCATTTTGAAGGCTGGAATCACCATCTTCAATTTTCTTCAATACTTTATTTTGCCTATTAATGAATTTTCTAATACTTAATTAAATCAGCATCCTAAATCTCAGGATAAAAGTACTAACCTAAAACCGAAACTTCCAAGCAAAAAAGTATTTTTTAAAATAATTATTTTCCAAAATATGAAGTGCTAAATACTTCATTATCATACCTCAATATGATAACTCTCCAAATCAATAGTATGTTGAGGCAGGATGAAAGATATAGTTCTTGGCCAATTTGAATTGAATATTTTTTCTGGATATAACTGAATTCACGCCTAAAATGTGTAGCAAGCTTATGTTTCACCTAAGCTAAGTAAGGCAGCATAAAAATGGCAACATGGAAATTAAATTTCTCCCTCTTTCAAGCATATAAATATACTATTGTCTAATTATGTTTCTTTCCTTTTTTTTTTTTTTTTTAGTATCTATTTGTAAGCCCACAGCTTATAGTTTTTACATCACAGAAACACTATTCCATAACTAATATGTAAACAGTACAAATTTTAAAAGTATCGCTGACAATTTAGTATGCTGCTTCACTGGCATACTAAGTCTCAGGAATAAATACCCCAAAAAAGGATCTCCTTCTTTGTGTTAATATATTGGAAAACAGTCTTGTGCTTAGAGAATTTTTTTTTTTTTCAATAAACCTTCAATGGTTTCAAAATGATAGTAAAAGTATGATGCCTATTGTTTACCTGCTACTGAAATACTCTTTTCAGGTAATATGTAATTGAACAGCAGTCACAAAATTAGGCCAGAAAAGACATCCATAATCACCTCTTCTAATATCTTCATTTTATAAATTAAGATCCAGTTTAATTTGCTTTCTATATTATAATAACCCTCACCTTTATAAGCCATTGAATGAGTCAAATGTTAATGCTGCAGAAAGCAAGTTAGAGTTATATAAGCTGGAGATCCATAAGTAGTACCAAATTAACTATTATACTTATTTTTAATTGATTAATATATATAATTTTTAAAAATTCATCTACCATAAGAATTGTTTGGTGAATGTATATATGTTATATAGACAAAAAGATTAATTAAAGATTTTTTTTATTACCTTACAAAAGAGTATTTGTTTCCCAAGACTTTGGTACCCCAAACTAAAAGAGAGGAGGCTAGGAAAGGAATTCCAAGGAGATATTCGTTTGGTTTCACACATTATGCTTGACAGTTTTCTGAACATTGTGTTTTCAAAACAAAATAAATCTGACCTTTTCTGTAAATTCTAAAATTATTTCTAAAGAATTTTATTCCTCCATTCCTAATATGGTCACTTGTGATAGATATGGCTAAATAACTGTTGAATTTACATGAATTAACACTTAAAATAGTATCTTCCTAGTTTATTAAACACAATCACAAACATGGTTTACTTATAAGATAAATTCTAAAGAGGTGTCAGCATTCTCACCAAGTTCAAATATAAAGAAACATAGTCGGCCGGGCACGGTGGCTCACGCCTATAATCCCAGCACTTTGGGAGCCCGAGGTGGGCGGATTACAAGGTCAGGAGATCGAGACCATCTCAGCCAACATGGTGAAACCTTGTCTCTACTAAATACAAAAAATTAGCTGGGTGTGCTGCTGCGTGCCTGTAGTCCCAGCTATGAGGAAGGCTGAGGCAGGGGAATCACTTGAACCTGGGAGATGGAAAATGCAGTGAGCCAACATCCTGCCACTGCACTGTAGCCTGGGTGACAGAGCGAGACTCTGTCTCAAAAAAAAAAAAAAAAAAAAAAAAAAACAAGGTCTATCTCAGTAATTCTATCCAGATATATGGAGGCCAAATGATAAAGACCCTCAATATACAGAAGTTAGACAATGGTGTGTTTATACTGTAATTAGAAAAACATTTACTCATATCAATTTCCAATAAAAGTATGCCAGAGAATGACTGTGTAATTACATAAGTTATGTCCAGCTTTTCTGCATTTTGATCAACCAAAATTCCACTCAAAAAAAATGTTAACACTCATATACAATCTAAATCCTAAAAAATGCTGTGGTAAAAAGTTATGTTTTTTTTGCTTTTTGATATATAAGCTTTCATCTCAAGACTGAGAAGATAAAATATTCTAGTATTTTTCTTCTGAATAAGAAGCTCTACTGTACATCATTCTTTTCTACTTATTATGAAATGCCTTTTGGGGGGCAGGGAAAAAATAAACAACTGAACTCAGATTTTTTAATTTTGTTAAAGCAAGTTCCAGCCTTTCTTTGCCTTACCCAGATATCAGCCTTGGTGGTGATGGGTTTCCCTCCATAAAGGTTGATCATTTCAGGGGCTCTGTATGACAGAGTCGTATACCTGGCAGTAAATGAGTGAAATGGAGTGGAGATACATACATAAAAAAAAGACAGATAATACATTGTTTCTACATAAAATACTACAAAAAAGTTTTTTAGGCTCAATAACATTATATAGAATAATACTATTTTTAAAAACTCATTAAAAACCCATCAAGGATTAAACAATACAAAGCATCTATATACATTTTTATTCAACAAATACAACAGAATTATTAATAATCTAAAAGCTTAATTTTCTTTATTATGAAAATCTTAATGACAATATATTGGGAACAGTTTTCCTTGAATTTCTTATGTGAAATAACACAATTTGATTATTATGATCTCCTTATCAAAATATTTTAGTCTACTAAATTAAAAGTTTCACTCTCTCAAAAAGTTAATTTATATATTTACTAAGGAATTTGTTTTTATGGACTCTAACATACTTCCTTAACACAGCAGTAAATCTCTCTTGAGTTTGTTTTTATAACTGTTTTAAAAGTAATCTAGTTTCTACAATCTAACTGTACTCATTAAGTATATTTCTAATACTGACTGCCATAATAAGCTATTTTGAATCAAAAGATATTGTGAATAAATATCTACTAATATAAAAACCCCATATTTGTTCTGAACAGAACATTTTAAAGAAGCAGTTTTCAAATTTCACGTCAGAAATGATCAGAATATGAATGGATATCCTATATCATGGCGTAATTTAAGATTTGGTTTGATGGTTCACACATTTTATTTTGCAAGAAATGTCTTAAAACTCAACATTCTACCACCTTACTTTTTCCAAATCACTCTGACTGGTGAGAGTGTTTGAATGATACTACTGTGGAAGAATGACCTGAAAAAACAGAAATATAAACTTCACGAGGACAGGATTTCTGTTCACTATATCCCCGAATCAAGAAAGTACTGGCCCTTGATAAATACTTATCAACTGAATGAATGGTTAGTCTTTTAATTGAGCCACAGAGGACAAGAACTCCTCATGAACTTTTGTTCATTGCTAATAAAACATTCAATTGAACCTTACACTTCAGAAGGCAACAGCAAGGAATAAAATGTCTAGCAGGTCAGGGATGCTTGGACAGAATCCTATACAGCAGCCACTAAACATCACAATCCAATAAATTTTTTAAATTATATAAACGTATTCCCCAATAAGCCAATGCAATACTTTATTATTCTTGGGTTCTTTAGGACTTCACATATTTACTAACATGTTTGTGTTTTTTTATTGAATCTAACATAATGATCATAGGCTAAGTTTCCTGAGTAAAAGTATGTAGCAGAGAAATCCACAGTATTATACAAATGATCCAAAGTAAAATCAGCTCTATTTGAACTATTTCAAAATACTGCAGTTCAAATAATGGCGCTGACATAGTACTAGGCAATAGAGAATTTGCGAGGAAGTGATGAAAGGCAACTCGGAAAAGGTAACTACTAAGAAAGTCCTATTCTGAGAGATCTTTCTGCATTCTGTATCATTTTATTAAGATAATCTAAAATTTACAAATAGTTCCACTTTCTAAAGTAGAAAACAAAAAAGTCAGGGAAAAATTCTCACATGTACTCTAGCAACCACTGAAAGCACAGGATTAAGAGAACATATAGTAGACATGACGTATTTCCATTCCAGAGTTTTCCAGCATATTATTACAAAGTAACAGTAACAATGCAGTCTTAATACTTTCATTTTCCAGTTTTCAAAGCATACAAAAGTTAATCCTTTTAATATTAAATAAGAAAAGCTTAAATGTTTTCAAATAATTTAACTTTTTCTTAACATGCAAAAATCCTCAGTATCAGTAAAAACAAAGATGTTTAAGTGAACTCAGTAATCATTTAAACCTCCCTTTAATGATTTCATTAATTACTACAGCTTATTTAACAAATTTCTTTATAAATCTGTTTACAATGTCAACTAAAAAGTCTGTATCTATGGCTAAATATATTTCCTACTGAGCTAGATCAGACACGAATTAATCGACATCTATGGCATAGGAATATTTCAAAGAAATCTATAAATGAAATACCTAAAATCTGTATTAGCAGTGCCGGTCAGACTCAAATTCTAAAATTACCATGACATAAAGTACAATATAAAGACAAATACTTACTTTTTAATTTCATCTTCTACTATATTTACTCCATCTTTTTGAGGATTAAGAAATTTATTAGTGGCACTGCCAAAGTCACAAAGAACATAGTTCCCACCATCATTCAACAAAATATTTTCTACCTTAAGGAAAGAAAATCAATAATTAGTAGTATTTTCAAAGTAAAAATTAGTTTTTTACAATCATTGTAAAAAATGGTTATTTTTACAAAGTTTATTTTTACACTATAAACATTGAAGGGTCTGTGCCATATATAAAAATATGTATATATGTGCCATACATACACACGTGTGCACATGCACACACACACATATATGTATGTATCATATGACATAAGATATCCAAATTATGAGGAAGGACAAATGAACTGGAGCAAAAATATGCTATGTCTACTGCCTCTCTTATTAAGAATAGAGAAATGCTTCTTCCACCCCAGGTTGATTTGTACAGGGTCAAAGAAACCCTAAATTCTCTCTAAAACTGCTTTTATGAAAGAGAAGAACTAGTACCTGGCAGAATCCAGCTTCTCTCTTTTACTATATCACCACTTTTCTCCTTTTACGACGCTTAAGCTTCTCTATAGATAAATAATAATGAAAACCACTGGAATTCCATCTTTGACCTCTAGTACCATTTTTTATTTAAAATACTATACTGAAAAATACAAATTTGACTTAATTTGGAAATCAGAGTTATAGTAACTAAAATAAATTATTATAGTCAGTTTCTTGAATAGTAAAATGTGTGTTCAGAGCCAAATATGCTACTAACTAGCATATGGACCCTTAGACAAACTGCTTAATTGCTCTTGTGTTTTAGGTTCCTTATGTAAAATAGGGACAAATAGAATATTAATCTGCCATATAGAACTGTTGTGAACATTAAATGAGTTAAAATATGTAAAGTGCTTAGAACAGTCTGGAATATGGTAAGCACCTAATAAATTACGCGTTTTTTTCACAATGTCTTTTATTTTTATGATAGTCTTAGATAATTCATTTATTTCCATTTTATCAAAATACTCAGTTTCATTATAACTTTTCACCTATATTTCGTTTTAGTATACTTTTTTAAAGATTTGTACAAAATAAAGATTCAGAAAGAAATCTACTTAAAACATATATTGTTGCATGTATTTACACATATAAAAAGAACCATATAAAATACGGGCAAAACAAAATTATGCAATTAAATGTCTTTTCTGAATTCTTTCTGAAAATATCAACTTTGTATGCAAAATATTAATGAACTATAACAACACAAAAAAAACCACACCAAATTGTTAGGGGAAATGGAAAAGCTGCATATTCAGAAGAACAGGAACTACACTGGTTATCCAAATTAAGGGCAGAGGCCTGCAGTTATGCACTTCAATCCTGCCTTATCTCCTATCATCCTAGGTTTTCTAGATGACACTTTCATGATTGACAGCCTATAATCTTAGTGACATTTTCTATTCTCTTTTATCTTACAAGCATTTCATAATCAACTTTCATAAAATTCTGTATCATCAGTCAGAACTGAGATTCATTCATTCAATATTTATTAAGACTCTTCTATGTATGAAGCATTATTCTAATTGCTTAAATATATAACTAAAAATGAAAGGAAAAAATAAAAGAGGTCCTGGCCCTCATGGAGCTTACGTTCTAGAGGGAGAGGACAGAAAATAAATAATAGACATAGTACATAACCAAACTGTACAATATCACAGGAAGTAATAAGGGCTAATAAAAGGTAGGGCAGGTTAGGCTGCAGTGATAAATATGGTGGCTCACGACGGGTCACTGAGAAGGTGAACCTGAGCAGACCTGAAGGAGTGGAAAGGGTAGCCAGGGTAATATCTAGGCATAAAGCATTTCAGAGGGAGTGATTTTTGTAATCTCAGTGTTCTTGTGGGCATGAAAGAAGACTTTTGTGGTTCTAAATTACGTCTCTAGCAATATAATGCCAGACTATTCAATACTCTTTGGGGACTTTTTTCAATGTAACAAGTGAGTAGCAACATAAGAGGTCAAGAGTCCACAAGAAGATAAAGTGACCTTCAAGATAACTGTTACCAAATTATAGAAAATAATAGAAAACTGTACTAACTTATAAAGAAAAAGAAAAAGAGACCCACTTATGGTCTCCTCCTCCAGTATCTCTTGAGAACACCTTGATGCTTAATATGGATTACAGGAAATAGGAGGAATGCTGGCTGAACTGAGAGAATAGTGTGGAGAGACATTTAACATGTGTCTGTGAAAAATTGCACTTCTGTTCAAATGAAATCTTTAAAGAAGCCTACTATATAAAACAGAGATACAGGGTAGAAAGTACAAAATCTGCCTCCACAGCCATGCTAGAAATCCTCAAAGTCAAGTAAAGCACAATTTCAAATCTACAATCACTCTATAAGACCTCAGGAAATGTAGAATGGGAGAGAGACACTAATCTCAAAGCTAGTTTTTATACTGATTTAGACAAAAATAGTCTAAGAACATTTAAACTCCAACTTATTACTTAATCCATAGGTATTCTAAAGTTCTTACCTTCAGATCCCGGTGAATTATTGGAGTCTTACACTGATGCAACCTTGCAACAGCTTCACAGGTATCACAGAATATCTGTAACACTTCTGGTTCTGTAAAACCTGTCTGTAGCTTCTTATTCATTTGATTCACTACCTGCCCAGCTAACCAAAAAAGTAATTTTGAGAGGACATATTTTTCATTAAAAAAGTCTATCACAAGTAAATTAAGAAATGTCTTTCTGGTCTCAGGTAATGGGAAATTGGCTTTTTCATAATTCTCAGGTAAGAATGCTTATTGTATCATATTGTACTGATGCAATGACACACATTTTTTCACATTTTACATCTCAGAGATCATCTTAAAATAGATAAATGTCTTATTAATGCTATTGCCCACTTTTTTTTTTAACATTTCTGAAATCAAAGTATATCTAATAATTAATGGCATGCTGGTTTGAAGAAATATTCAACCATGAAGAAATTATTCAACAGCATGCTATTTATGGGGTAAACAGTGGCGAACAAAAAATAAGGTTTCTGTTATCACAGACTTTACAGTCTAAAGGTAGAAGCAATCACACAAATAAACAGCAATAATTATATATCATAACAATAATATAAAATAATTTACATAAGACCCTAACTTTAAATTGTGAAGAAAGATAAGGAGAGGCTACCAGATCAGGTCTAAGGAAGTGATATTTGAGACCAAAGGATAATGAGGAATCAACCAGGCAGAGACTCGTGAGAACAATATACTAGCAATAGTGAGTACCATATACAAATGCCATCAGTTTTGGAAAGAGCTTGATGACTTTGAATAACTCAAAGAAAGCCAATATGACTTTCTTTACAACCTAAAGAAAGCTGATATGGTCTAGGAAGCTATGGAGATAGTAAGGTGACATAAATTGGCAAGGACAGGGATCAGTCATATTTTAGATTCTATCTTGAGAGCCAAAGAAACTTCCTCATCTGACTTTTTAAAAAAATCTCATCGAGGGTTAAGGGAATCAAAATGGGTTAGGAGGCAAAGTCTATCCAGACAAAAGATAATGGACCAAAATAATCAACTAAAATCAAATTGCCACACATATACCATTGAGCCCTGAGAACGTTATATATTACAATATAGAAATTGATAGTCTAATAATTATTAACAAAAGGTTAATCATCATTATATTTTAAGAATGCAAGTAAGTATATGATTCATACAGAAAGCAGTCTAATAAAAATTGAGTATGGGAATTTAAAAAAACATAGAGCAACTTTCCTTTAACAAATTTAGATAAATAAACATTTGCTATTTTACAATCTATGAGAAGGTACATATACACTCGTTCCTTGTGTTATTACTGTCTAAGCAGTCTTGTCTTTTCTGAGAATATTTTTCTCATAGGATTATAAAGCAAAAATAACATGAATTTTACCTATGAATGCCCAACTTTCAAAAGACTCAGGTGTAATTTGTTCAGATTATCTCAGAAGACTGGGGCACATGACCATGCAGCAACTTCTTCCACTCCCTCGTCTGGCATACTCCCTGTCTATTCTAAACTAGACAGGCTGGTTTTAACCAAAAATTAAATAGGATTAAAAAATGCTTTCTCGGTGTTCATTCACATTCATGAAATATCACATTATACATAAGGAAATCATAACCTTGAAATCACCACACCTCTTCCAAACTTTCAATATTATAAGAAGCAGAATCAACTTTAAACGAACATTAATTCTCTTTCTTCAATCTAGAGATCTTTGAAGTAGGAATCCTGAATCACAAAAAACAAGTCCCCAGAGAAAACTAAAAACTGTATTTGGTTAAATTTCAAATGAAATAAAATTTCATTACTCAATATCAGTTTTCTGAAAATTAAATAAAGCTTAAAAGAAGGTAAAAAATCAGATTTGGAAATCAAACATTACATACTAAGGGTCTTTTAAAATGAGGTGCCTATAACTCTCAACGCTTTCCATATTTTCCAAAGAGATATCATCTCCAAACAAAAGCTTTTTATACTCTGCCAAATTTCATCACTAACATTAAAAAGTCAACATTTTTCTAACCTCTTAAAGGTGTTCAACAACCTCCATATCTGATTACACATATTACTGATCAGTTTTAAAAAACCATAAATGCAACCTATTATTCCACTTAAATTTTAATAATGTGACTTATTTATTTTTACAAGTGTGATGGTTAATACTGAGTGTCAACTTGATTGGATTGAAAGATGCAAAGTACTGATTCTGGGTGTCTGTGAGGGTACTGCCAAAGGAGATTAACATTTGAGTCAATGGGCTGGGAAAGGCAGACTCACCCTTAATATGGGTGGGCACAAGCTAATCAACTACCAGCACAGCCAGAATAAAAAGCAGGCAAAAGAACTGAAAAGACTAGACTGGCTGAGCCTCCCAGCCTACATCTTTCTCCTATGCTGGATGCTTCCTGCCCTCAAACATCTCTCTAGTTGCTTCAGCTTTTAGACTCAGACTGGCTTCCTCACTCCTCAGCTTGCAGATGGCCTATAGTGGGACCTTGTGATCTCATGAGTTAATACTCCTTAATAAACTCTCATATGTGTGTATATATATACACATACATATATCCCATTAGTTCTGTTCCTCTAGAAAACCCTGGTTAATACAACAAGATTATTCAATTTTATCTGTAGTAGATTGCATTATTGGTCCCAAATCTTCAACCTTCACTTTTTACATGTACTTTGTTATGTAACTCTGCAGTTTGTCCCAGTAAATGAGGCAGAGAAAATTTCTTGCCGTTTGATTTGGGCTTAGTCATTTGATTTTCTCTGGCCAACAGAAAAAGGTAAAAGTGTCAGTGTCCCAGCCCCAAGACTAGACCTTAAGAGACCTCACATGCCTTCTTATGTTTCTACCATCCACATGAGAAAACCATCCCCAGGGCAGCTTGATAGTGCCAGAAAGAGGACAACGAACATGTGAAGCAGAGCCGTTCCAACTAATCCCAGCTAACCACTGGCATGTGAGCAAGCCCTGCCAAAATCTGCAGTGCCACCCTATCAAGCTAAGTTGAAAGCAGCTGGACCATGGATACACAGGCTATAATAAAGGAATGTTGTTTTATGCTATTGAGTTTTGGGATTTTCTTAAATTAAGGAAATATTAACAGATATATAATCCATGGAAACTATGCAGAATACTTCCTAAAAATATACATTAAACATTTATAAATTTTCATAATTTATTCACAAATTATTCATGAAATAATAGAAATGTACTCAAAATACCAATACTGATTTCCAGAAGTCTGAGACCTAAAGGACATAATTTATCTTTAATCTATGCATCAAAATATTAACAAATAAAGCAGTACCAAACCATGAATTTACAAAGACAAAAGATGATTACATTTGACAAAGATCATCGTAAACACTGGATACCTAAAACCATGGAAGGGGATATGGGCTATGTCACATATTCTTCTGTCCATACAATTTTATTCCTACATAATAAAAACCAATGCCCCTGAGCTTATCTAATTGATTCATCTGAGAAAAGAGACTGAGTATACCCCATTCAGAAAATTGAGCATACTCTATTCAGGCCTTCTGGATTTCTTCTCTGAAGAAATAACTGCCCACTTAGGGGGTACAACTAGTCTGTAACACATGCAGTAACCTTAGAAGGCAAAACATCTGAAGAAAACTTTGAACAAAAAAAGAAAAAGCATGGTCTGGCTGTGTCCACACCCAAATCTCATCTTGAATTCCCACATGTTGTGAGAGGGACCCCTTGGGAGGTAACTGAATCATGGGGGCAAGTCTTTTCCATGCTGTTCTTGTGATGGTAAGTTTCAAGAGATCTGATGGTTTTAAAAAGAGGAGTTCCCCTGCACAAGCTCTCTATCTTTGTCTGCTGCCTCCATGTAAGATGTGACTTGCTCCTTCTTGCCTTCTGCCATGATTGTGAGGCTTCCCTAGCCACGTGTAACTGTAAGTCCAATTAAATCTCTTTCTTTTGTAAATTGCCCAGTCTTGGGTATGTCCTTAGTAGCATAAAAACAAACAAATACATCAAGGAAAAGAAAAAAAATTAAAAACTAAAATTAGCTGGGTACAGTAATTTTGCCCTTAATCCCAACACTTTGGGAGGCTGAGATGGGAGGATTTCTTGAGACCAGGAGTTCCAGACCACACTGGGCTACAAAGCAAGATCCTGTTTCTACAACAAATTAAAAATTTAAAAATTGGCCAGGCGTGGCCATGTGTGACTCTAATCCCAGCTACTCAAGAGGTTGACGCAGAAGGATCACTTGAGTCCAGCAGTTTGAGGTTGGACACCAGTGTGGAAGACAAGTGAGACCTTGTCTCTAAAAGAAAGAAAGAGCAGAGGTGGAAAGAAAGAAAAAATGAACAAACTGAAATTAATATCTACAGACAACAAAAGATTCGCAGCTAGAACAAGAACAAGGTGTATTTTTTCCCCATAGCATGGCAACAAGATGTATTTTAGCAAAGAACACTGACAGAACAAGAAAGAGTCAGGCTTGGAGCAGTGGTTCATGCCCATAATCCCAGTACTCTGGGAGGCCGAGGTAGACAGATCACTTGAAGTCAGGAGTTCAAGACCAGCCTGGCCAACATGGCGAAATCCAGTCTCTAAAAAAAATTTAAAAGATTAGTCAGATATGGTAGTACACACCTGTAATCCCAGCCACTCAGGAGGCCAAGGCACAAGAATTGCTTAAACTCAGAAGGCAGAGGTTGCAGTGAGCTGAGATGGTGCCACTGCACACTCTAGCCTGGGTAACAGAGCAAGACTCTATCTAAAAANAAAAAAAAAAAAAAAAAGAAAGGAGTCCCTGGAAATTAAAAATAACATAGCAGAAATACAAAAAAAAAAATTTGTGTATTTCTTAGTTTGTATATCTCTATAGAGAAGAGCTAACAGATACAGAGGAATGTTTCCAACAAAGAAAAAAATAAGAAAGAAATGGAAAATAAGAAAGAAAAGAAAATCAGAGGATTATCAATCTAGAAAGCTTGAAACATCTTAAGGAATATGAGAAGTCCAGTAAGAGAGAACAGAAAATGGAAGACAAAAACGCTAGGTGCCCCATAAAAAGCATACAAAAAAAGACACACACTAAGGCACATACATTTTGAAATTTCAATATGCTATAGATAAAGGAAAGATTCAAACTAAGTGTCCATGAAGATAAGAAGTCACATAGAAAAATTAAGCTATCACAGTAACATCGATTTCTCAACAACACTTAAGAAAAAAGTGGAATGATGTCTTCAAAATTCTAGATCAAAATTATTTCCAACATATAATGTTTTTGCCAGCCAAATTAACAATCAAATGTAGGCCCTGAATAAAGATATGTTTATATATGCAAGGTTTCAAAACCGTTTCTCCCAAAAATCCAGTTAGAAAGCTACTGAAAAGCATACTCTTCCAAATTAGGGAGTGAAAACAAAGGAGAGGCATAAGTATCAGGGAATCCAAGATAAAAGGGAGGCAAAGGGAATTTCCGGAATGACAGCTAAATGCTGTTTAAACTTAAGCAGGATTTTAAGGGAAGAAAAAATGAAATCAACAAAAATATTAAAATGTCTAAACATACTGCAAAATTACTTGTACTTCTATTGGAAAATGTGGGACTAAAATACTAATATACATGAAGAAAATCAGGCAAATGAAAAACGAAGTAATTACTAACTCCAGGAAAACACAAAGTATAAGAAAATACAATTACAATCACCATTAAATGGCAAAATAAACACTGATTTAGTCCAAAACCTAAGAATATCTATACTTGAAGTAAAATCCCCATCTTTTCTTAGAGACAATATCTAGAACAGAAAATCAGAAATAGTACTAGAAAACCTTCTTTCAATAGCCTCCTCATGCCCAGAATTACATACTTCCCTTGATTTTCTAAGCCCTTTCTCTTTTGTACCCGTAGGAAAACATTAAATTATTGATTCTCTTTTATATAATGCAGTGTAGAAATATGAAAGTAAATATGAGAAGAAACATCTCAAATATTTTAAAGACACTGCCTCTGAGAAGAGAGATGAGGCAGGAGGGTACTGATTTAGCCACAGCTTAACAGAACTATTTGACTTTTCAAACCATATACATAAATTACTTCGATAAAAATTTACAATTTATACCACAGAGCTTGATGATTTGAAGACTGGATAACTTTTTCTAAAAATATTTTAAAACAAAACAATGCATTCCTCAAAAAACAGATATGATCATTCTTCTACTTTAAAATAAAATTTGCCCCTAAAACTTGAAAGTCATTTGATTCTCCTTTTAAGATGTCTTATAAGTGACAATTAATTAAATTTATCCAGGGTTATGATTTTGCGTGATTCAAGTATCTTTTAAAAGTTACAAGTAGTCAAGGGCTATTAGTAAACTCTAACTAAGAATTAGCACTATCGATGCTAGAATTCAGGAAAATGGGGTAGAAAAAAATGAGTATCTTCTCCTAAAAGAGATTACAGTACTTTATAGTAGATAAGATAAGATATAAAGAAAAAACAATCGAGTTTGTTTGTTCAAACAATCATAGGGGGCAAGTCTTTCCCATGCTGTTCTCGTGATGGTCAATAAGTCTCATGAGATCTGATATTTTCAAAAGAGGAGTTCCTCTGCACAAACTCTTTTCTGTTCAATCGAGTTTATTAAACTCAATTAAATGTTAAATGTTAGTTAAATATTATGTATGGAAATAAGTTACAAATACATCACAGTAGGCATCGTAACAGTGATTCACATCATTTTCCCCTATCTTTCCCTCCTTAAAAGACTGCAGTAAACAAGATCATATTTTCTCTAACATCATCATCATTCCCCTCTTCCTCCTCAACCATCAAGAAACTATAAGAGTTCCTGGAATAGTAATTACTGTCTTAAGAGAATGTAAATGCAAACCAGGGCTGCCTAGAACCACAAGTGCCAAATATGACTTGCAAGTTTGTAGGAAATAGATTATTTGTTTCCACCTTTCCACACATTAAAATTTTTAAATGTCAGGAATTTTTTGTTATGATAATGATTAAGGTAGGTTATACAAATAAATATTTATTTTAAAATAACACACTGGGTCCAAATAAAATGTGATTTTCTATCTTCTAATGTTTACAAAAGAACACCAAGAAACTACATAAAACAGGTTTATAAAGTCTACAGATCAAAATGCATCCTCTAAATTTGTTAAATTTAATATTTATGATAACACGGGAGAATAATGGAAAAATCTTACAACATTAATATTGACACATTATGCTCTTCTTGGTTTGATTACCAGAGAATTCTATGGAGAGAAAGAACTGTAACTCTGTACCTGCTTAGATTTCCTATTTTAAACTCAATACCACTTTTCTCATTCTGCATTTACATGCTCATATCATAATTGCAGCAACTATGACTAGGTTTATGAACAATGTTTTTGTTTTTATTTTTTTGAGACCGAGTCTCGCTTTGTTGCCAGGCTGGAGTGAAGTGGCTCCATCTCAGCGCACTGCAATCTCCACCTCCTGTGTTCAAGCGATTCTCCTGCCTCAGCCTCCCGAGTAGCTAGGAGTACAGGCGCACACCACCACACCCAACTAATTTTTGTAGTTTTAGTAGAGGCGGGGTTTCACCATGTTGGCCAGGATGGTGTCCATCTCCTGTGTGATTCTCCTGCCTTGGCCTCCCAAAGAGCTGGGATTACAGGCATTAGCCACTGAGCCACCGAGTGCAGCCTTGAATAATGTTTTAACACTATTCCTAACTAGATAATGAAAGCTAAGATTACAATAAGTGACTAGATTAAGTTAACAGCTACCCTGGAAATAACGAAGATATCTAGCAACCCATTTAAGGAGAAGTTTTTTATTATAGTACAAATGCAGAAAAATACTTACCTCGACAATATTCCATTAAGATAAGGACTTCCCATACATTATCACTAATTGAATTAACAGCACAGTCCAAATAACCCACAATATTTTTGTGACCAGATAACTCTTTCTGGAAAGAAAAAAGAAATAAAAACTGGAAAATATACATTTTAGAGGTATAGCATTAGTAATGGTCTGAAGACTAAATTAATGTATTTAAAGAATTTCAAAAAGCAATAATTAAGCACGAGTATAGAATCTAACACATTTCAACCAAGCAAAGGCTTCTATGGTTTCAATAAAAAGTTTATCTGGGTGTGACTGTAATTTTCCAACAGACAAATATGAATATTATTTTTAAATTAAACTGTGAAAATGGTTCACTCAAAAGTAATAGTTCCCAAAAGTGTACAAAGAACTTGAAAATAAAATATTAGAACTTTTATATTTGTTTTTATCTAAAAAAAATTTTTAAATTAACCTCTAATATTTATTAACAATTATATGCTCATTTATTTTGCCTGCAACACATTGCAATTTATGTGTAGCTATTACATGAATTTATAGATACACACAGTTTTAACTAAATAACATAAAAAAAGGAACAAATGGCTAAAAAGATTTCTGAAAAGAAACCATAAAGATAATGCTAATATAAAAATAAGAATATAAGAAAAGAAACTTTTGCATCTAGTACAAGATAGTCATCTGCATACAATGAGGTCAGAAATAACAATCTACTCTGTTCTACCAGGAAATTTAAAAACAACTATTACAAATATTATTTAAAATAAATTTACATTAAATATCATTAGCAATAAACTTACTTTTAACTATGTAATATAATTTGAAATAAGGGCTAAGGGCCACTGAACATGTGAATTACTTATAAACTAGTATACATAATGAGGATGAGTTATCAAAAAAGTTGATAGACCACACTAAAGAACTAATTTCCCCAAAAAATGTTCAAAAGCATAGGATTTGAGTGTGCTGCTCCTCATATATTGTATGTCTCAAAATCATACAAATTTTATTGAATAGAAGAATTATGACACAACAGTCCAAGACTGTAACATCTGGACTCAAGATAGAGAACTTGGTCTAAGCTTTGCCATTATCATGAGGTAAATCTTTTCACCCTTCTAGCTAATAGCCTTACCTTTAAAAAAGTAAATGTCAAAGCCTAATCATCTCTAATCTAGTTAAGAAAAAGAGAAAAGCAGAATTCGAAAAAGTCAGATTGGCAAATGCACTTACTTGCTAACAAAAGGGATTGTAATATGTGTGTTAGTAAAAACGTTGATACAAAATAAGAAATCCCTCTCTTAGCAGGTGGATAAGTAGGACTGACATTAATAACAAGTGTTGGCAAACATATGGAAAAATACATTCCTTGGAACATGAAATGGTTCACTGCTATGGAAAACAGTTAACGTAAAATTACATATGACTCAACAATTCTACTCCTAGGTATATACCCAAAACAACTGAAACCGGGTACTCAAGCAAATAGATGTATGCACGTATTCATGGCAGCATTAATCATAATAGCCAAAAGATAGAAACAGCCCTAATGCACATCAAATAATTTTTTAAACTCCATTAACAGATGAATGATAAACTGTGTTACAGACACATAATGGGATATTATTTAGCCATAAAAAATAAAGATGCTATAATTATGTGAATTTCACCTCAACAAAATAATCTTCAAATATATATATACACCTGTGTGTGTGTTTGTATGTAAGCACTCAACAAACCATGGAGAAGAGAAAAGAGGATGAAGAGGAGGGGAGAAATGGGAAAACAAGGAGTAAGAACAAGAACAGGAAGCCATACAGAGCACTGAGCATAAGCAACCCTAATAAAGAAGAAAATTTTTATTTTAAATATATATAACATTTATTTACTATTTAGGATAGTTAAGTTAGAGTCATGACGTTTGTAATGGCCTATTATTTTTCACTTTTCCTAATATTTAAAAAGAAGTTTTCCCTTGCTGAAAGATGCCTTGCCATAAATTGCAGAGTTCACAGAAAAACAATCCACATTAGAGCGTGATATTACAACTGAAAAACAAAACTATTGTTTGTGAACAGAAACACATACAGTGAATGCAAAGGAATAAAAACATAGAATTCAGGACAGTATGATTTTTTTTGGATAAGGAGAACAGTAAAGGTGTACTTCATTTTATTGTGCTACATTTTTTTAAAGTGGTACTTTGCTTTATTATGCTCTGCGGATACTGCATTTTATACAAATAAAAGGTTTGTGGCAATCCTGCATAGAGCAAGATTATAGGCACTATTTTTCCAATGACTTGGTTTATTTTTCTAATATCTCTGTGTCATATTTTGGTAATTCTCACACTATTTCAAACTTTGCCTTTATTATAACAACAGTTACGATAATTTGTGGTCAGTGATGGTTAATGTTATTATTCTAATTGATGTATGGCAACACAAACTTTGCCCATATAACACAGTGAATTCAATCAATAAATGTCATATGTGTTCTAACTGTTCCACTGGCTACCCATTCCTCAGGGACCCTTCTCCTTGGGATTCCCTATGTCATAAAACACAACAATACTGAACAGTCCCACAACTCTTGTTTTAATCAAAAGCTAGAAATGATTAAGCTAGTGAGAAAGGTACATGGAAAGCCAAAGAAGGGTGACATCTAAGCCTCTTACACCAGTTAGCCAAATTTTGAATGCAAAGGAAAAATTCTTGAAGGAAATTAAAAGTGCTACTCCCATGGACATACAAATGGTTAAAAAGGCAAAAGAGCCTTATTGCTGACATGGAGAAAGCTTTTAATGGTCTAGACAGATCAAACCAATTGCTACATTCCCTTAAGCCAAAGCTTTAAACAAGAGCAAGGTCCCAACTGCCTTCAATTCTATGAAGGCTGAGGAACTGAAAAAGCTGCAGAAGAATAGTTTGAAGCTCGCAGAGGTTGGTTCATGAGGTTTAAGGAAAGAAGCCATCTCCAGCACATGTAAGCATAAGGTAAAGCAGGAACTGCAGCAAGTTATTCAGAGGATTTAACTAACATCATTGATGAATGTGGCTACATTAAACAACAGATTTTCAATGTAGACGAAAATAGCCTTCTACTGGAAAAAGATGCCATCTAGGATTTTTATAGCTAAAGAGAAGAAGTTGATGCCTGGCTTCAAAGTTTCAAAGGACAGGTTAACTCTCTTGTTAAGGGCTAATGCAACTGGTGACTTTAAGTTGAAACCAATGCTTACTTGCCATTCCAAAACTCCTAGGCCCTTATGAACTATGCTAAACCTACTCTGCCTGTGCTCTATAAATAAAACAACAGCCTGATGACGTGACATCTGTTTCCAGCATGGTTCACTGAATATTTTAAGCCCACTGTTGAAATCTACTGCTAAGAAAATAAGATTCCTTTCAAAATGTTACTGCTCATTGACAATATGCCTAGTCACCCATGAGCTCTGATGGAAATGTACAAAAAAATTAATATTGTTGGCTGGGCGCAGTGGCTCTTGTCTGTAATCCTAGCACTTTGGGAGTCCAAGGTGGGCAGATCACTTAAGCTCAGGAGTTCAAGGCTGGCCTGGGCAACATGGTGAAACCCCATCTCTACTAAAAATACAAAAATTAGCCAGGCATGATGGCACCTGCCTGTAGTCCCAGCTACTCGGGAGGCTGTTCCACAAGAATCCCTTGAATCTGGGAGACAAAGGTTGCAGTGAGCCAAGATTTTACCTCCACAGTCCAGCCTGGGCAACAGAGCAGGATTTCATTTCAAAGAAAAAAAAGAAAGACAGACAGAAATTAATATTTTTTTCATGCCTGCTAACACAACATCCATTCTGCAGCCCATGAGTCAAGCAGTAATTTTAACTTTCAAGTCTTATTACATAAAAAACATATTTCTTTTGTTTTTAGGAAACAAAGTCTCGCTCTGTAGCCTAGGCTAGAGTGCAATGGCGAGATCTCGGCTCACTGTAGCCTCCACCTCCCAGGTTCATAGGATTCTCCTGCCTCTCAGCCTCCTGAGTAGTTGGGATTACAGTCGCCCACCACCATGCCTGGCTAATTTTTTGTATTTTTAGTAGAAACGGGGTTTCACTATGTTGGCCAGGCTGGTCTCAAACTCCTAACCTCATGATCTGCCCGCCTCAGCCTCCCAAAATGCTGGGAATACAGGCGTGAGCTATCACACCCTGCCCATATTTCTTAAGACTATAGCTGCCATAAATAATTATTTCTCTGATGGATCTGGGCAAAGTAAATTAAAAACCTAAAGTCCTACTGTGGATAAAGTGCTATCAAATAGTATTGCATGCTACAGAAAAAGCTTTCATAAAAGGAAAAGTCAACTGATGT